AAACTCATTACCATGGATGAAGAAGGGAGAGTTTCTGCCTAGGAAGCACTCCGTTATATTAATGGCGATAGAATAATCTGGAAAAGGACATCAATAATGGTTGTACAACACAAGACGCACAATCAATGGCACTGAACTATACATGTAAAAGTTGTTGTATTGGAAAGTGTTTTGTTGTGTACATTTTTGTCACAATTAAAAAATAATTATAATTACACTATAGCAATGAGTACAAGTCAGAAGAAAATGTTCTAAAATTGATTGTGGTCATGGCTGTACAGCTCTTGTTAATATGACTGAACTGCTGAATTGCTTCCTATGTGGATAAAGTGCCAATAAAAGAGGTTTTTTTTAAAAAAAAAAGTCGGGTTGTAAGGTTCTCTGTCACTCTTGTGTCGTGTTCTCTAGCGTTCCTCTATAATTACTGGCACACACGCGTGCGCACACAGCTCTTTTGTACATAAATGGTACCAATGATACACAGTGGTCCACACCTCGTGTCTCTACTCTACTACATCTTTTTAAATGCTCTGCATCGGTACCAAAGCACAAAGCAATCTATCTCCTTCTGTCTAATGAGGGCTTTGCAGCTTGCCTTCTGGATAGCTGCCCACACCTCACCTAAAAGAAGTTCCTCCTTGTGCACGGGTAAGTGACTCCTCACCTTTTGCAAACCAGGCTGCTGGAGTGGCTATCCTTGCGCACAGGTGTCTGTGTCCATTTGCCAGTGTGGCTGGAGACGGAGTTTCTAGAATGACAGCTGGGTCAAAGGGTTGTTTTTAGGGGCTGTCCGGCTCACAGCACCCCCAAGTGTGAAACCCCCAGGCCAGCACCATCCTTCTACGCTTCACGGTGTCTGAGGCCATGGTCACAGCCACAGCGTCTGTCCATCACATTGAGGGTCTTCCCCTGTTGCGCTGACCTTCTACCTGACCAAGCACGGTGTCCTTCTGATCACAGGTCCACGCACACGAGGCGAAGTCTCGCCGTCTTCATTTCCAAGAAGTCCTCTGGCTGTCCTGTGTCCCAGGCAGATTTGCTCATGTTTCTAGCACTCCATCGATTGGTTCCATATTCTTCTCAAGGCCATAAGTCAAAGGCATCGGTTCTTCGTCGCTGGGCTTCCCGATTCGTTGCCCGGCTTCCACATGGATATGATACCAGGACGTGGGTCGGGTGCATCTTCGCTTCACCACTTTAAGGACTTGCTCTTCAGCACTTCAAAGAGGTCTTTTGGAAATCGGGCCAATTCAATACAAAAGATTCACAGTCTGGGAACCCCTTAGGGGCCACTCTACTCTGTTCTCCGAGGTCACTTTGCACCAGAATCGACTCAATAGCAGGGGATTGTTTTGTTTTGGGGCGCCCACGGACTGTTCTCAGAACAGGACCCAGTAGCTCTCCAGCTTAGTTTAAATGCCTTCTCCCACGGGGCCTCTCAGTGGAAGCGTGGTCTTCAAGTGTGGGATAGAACCTCCCCTTCCTTTTAAAGAAGTTTCACACAAAAGTAGGAGAACTCTGCTCCTGGGCAGGAAACACTTTCTCGAGGCTCTTGATGTCCTAACAGATGGCAAGAGCCGAGCTTCTATCCCAGGCTCCCTGGCAGGTTTGTGGAAGCAACGGTTGATGAAGAGTCCCCTGCATCCTGGGAGCATTTCACAGATTTTTAAGAAAGCCGGGGCCATAGGCTATAAACAACGCCACATTATCCAAGAAGCAAAGTCAGCACGGGCTCATGGAGGCTTACTCCCTTGTCTGCAGTGGGCGGCTTCGCATCTCCCCACGACCTCCTCGGAGATTCTGTTTCTAGGTGGGGCTGGCGTGTCTCCCAGCCCAGCCCCCAGCCCCACAGCTCCCTTCCAGAGAAACAAAGTCTCTCTCCACAATCACAGGCTCTGACCAGAGCTGAGGCCCCAGGGGACAAGGCAAGCAGGGGCTTATGGGCATTGACTTGCTCATCTGCAGTGCACAAGGTCACAGATGCGGTGAAAAACACAGGGAGATCTTGACTACACATTAGTAAACAAGCAGAAGGCCTGTGCTATTGCCTTGCTTATTGGGTAATCGGGCCCTGTCTGTAATTTTTCAAAAACAATAAAACAACTCTCTGCCAATGAGTCAAGGCTGACTCACAGCGACTCCCTGTGGGCTTCTGAAACCGCAACTGTCTATGGG